AGCACAGTGGAAGCTAAGCTGCTCTTCCACAATGAATGTTTGGCACTAAAAAAAAAATTAAACAAATCACTACCATTCAAATGTTTGGGGTTGGTAAGATTTTTAATGTTTTTTACATTTTGCTGACCAAGACTGCCTTTACTTGATCAAAAGTACTAATATTCTACAGCTACAGTACTAATATTCTTATTTGGTGCCTAAAAAAGTCTTATGATCAATGCCTTCCGGCCTAATGTTTTTGTGGAAACTGTGATAATTGTTTTTTCTGGATTTTTTGATGTCTAGAAAGTTCAAAAGAACATTTAATTTAAATGAGAACATTATGTCTTTGCTGTCAATTTTGATCAATTTATTGTGTCCATGCTGAATAAAAGGTTTAATTTCCTTCCGAAAAAGACAGAGCATCATAAAATACTCTGGCATGAGTTCCTTCATTGCACCACTCCATATTGAAACATGAAATAATGCAAAGGCCAAAAACAATGACAATAAAATACAGCAACCACAAATGAATGACTCGGATGAACTGATTATTTTGAATGAATTGGTAGATCGCACAAATCAGTTTTGAATTCGTATTATCAAGTTCAGAGTGGTTCTTGACCTTCTCACTGAATCTATTACTTTCAGTAGTAATAAATGGCACTTTAATTCACAAGTTGGGCTGCCAATTTAATCACAAATATCCACATGTGCTGTGAAAAGTCACATGTAGATAAAAACATGAAGATCTTAACCTATTGAATTGAGGTGGTACTCCTCCTATGATATCAAAATTCGAATAGCATGATTAAATGCGCTAATTTCATGTATTATAGTTATATTATAGTTATATGTATTGTGTCCTGGAGCACATGGACCTGTGAAAACATTTCTGTGTGCCCATGAATCTCTAGGTGAGTGTGTTCATGTGAGGAGGCGGCATCCCTCTGTATCAGTCAGCCTCTGGGGAGCTCTAAAAGAGAGCGAGGGACAGCAAGAGACAGAGAGAAGGGGTAGAAGCAGTGCCAGACACCCTAATGAAGAGAATCTGTGTGTATTATCTGGGGACCGGCCCGGTCGGAAGCCTGATCCCCTGTATGTGCCATCCAATGAATGACAGACCTCCAGCTCTCCCCAATAATGCATCATTTTCAGTTTTAAATCCCCAAGACCAATATCAATCCACTGCAATAATGTAATTCCATACAACACGAGTGTATTTACGCACATGCTTAGAGAGGTCAGCTGGACACACGGGTAAGCGGGCGCCTGGGAAAGGATGAGCCAACAGATCACTTTCACACTTCAAACGAGTCTTTCATTCTATTCATTAAAGCCCTGCGACATCCTGCCGCCACTCACAGGCATTAATTGTGAGTGACCCCGACACCAGCCAAAAGCACTCTGAACATTACACCACGAAACAACAAACCCCTCTACCGCATACTTCTCCAGGCACCTACTGTCTGTGTGAGCCGGACCGATCGGACATCACAAAGACTCCATTATCTATCTGTGGTATCTAAATCTGCGCTATACATGAACAATATGCTTTCCCATCACAATTGTTGATTTTATAATACTATCTACTAATACACAGACATAATATACTCTATAATAATCCACAATACAATAACATACAGAATATATACATGATACAATTGAATGATGTCAGTCTGTTAGTGGTTGCTGCACTTTCTGAACAATTTCTATGACTTGCCATGATTTAAAAAAATAATTTTCCTGGAAACTGCAAAAACCATTTAATTATAAATCACACTCACAAAGAGTAATTTTTAACCACAGAAATACATTAGAATTAAGAACAATTTATATTTACATTGTCTATAAACATTTTCATGCATGAAAAAAGCACTTTTGAAATATCCTGAAATTCTCAAAATAAAATAAAATGTTTGTAATTTAGTCTGCAATACAAATTTGTGTAACTACAGCATCATAAATAATAATAATAATAATAGCATTGATTATAATCTTTAATAATACATAAGTATTAATTTAATATGTAAATAAAGTATATAAAATCAAAATAATAATATTCATAATGCATAATATTCATAATACATATGCTTTTCATTGTGTAATTGTTGTTGTAAAAACTGAACAATAATTAACAAATTAGTTTTGCACAACAGTTGACAAACATTTTAAACATAAGGAATGAAGTGTTAGGAACAAAAGAACACATGCCATGGTGGTGTTTTCAGCAGGGATGGCTTTTCGCTTCTGAAATCACTCTGTTTAAAACTTGTTTTATTGGTAAAAGTCAACTGCTCATGCTTAATTTTGGCAATGTCACATTGTCTCATTCAGCACAGATGAATGGTGTCTCTCTTGGATGTATTAGCCCAGACAAAAATGGTTCAAACAACTGCATCATCTGCAATCCCCACAGAAAACACAGCATTTTCAAAGCTTCTCAGATGACATACCAATACCACGCAAGGTGTGATGAATGCCATTTCATGGATGCCAAATCTTTTCTTAGACATGCAATGACCCAGCTTCGAGTAACTGGCAAAATTAGAGCGGCTTTAGAGAAACCAGCATGGTTCACTTTACTAACAGCCTGCCAATCAAAAGTAATTGACAGCAGCATGACAGATGCAGTTGGATGGAGGAGTGGGTTGGATAAAGAGCTTATATGATGGGCCCAAAATGTCTTTGTCTCTTTTCTTGTTTCATTCAGTTTTTTTCCCCCAACAGAGTGATTTGAAAAAGGCAGATGCTTCCTTCGAAGCCCAACATCGGCTGTTGGGTTGTTAACAAACAGAGACCATTTACTGTTGTAGTGCACACAGAAATACACAGATATATACACTCGACCCTTAGTGGGGAAAAAAAGCTTTTAGTCCCGCTTTCACACAGTCTGTACGATCAAAGCAGAGTCTTTCTCAATAGCGACTGCACTGTCATCAACAGCTAATGCAGAGAAACAGCAAACATAGTGAAAAGAGAAGACGAAGTGGCCACTCATTAGGTTTACTGAAAGCATCCTTCATACACCATACAAACATGAGGTATGCATCCCTTAGTAGGTGAGGAAGTGCTAACAATGTGGTCGTACAATCTCTACAGATGCATTCATGCCAAGAAATAGTGATTCCTTCCATCACAAATGTAATAAATTAACATCTTTTAGTTTGTGTGAGCTTTTCAAATCAACAAAAAGCTCTCGCACTGGAACAATTAATGGATAATTTATGCTGATAACTGTCAAAATCTGTGATAATGTGTTCACATTTGCATAAATATATGTACAAGCATGTTTTTGGCTGTGTTTTTAGAGGCCCCTACTGGTTTTCATCTATAGCCTCCCAGCGATATTGTGTCAGACATCCTAAAGCCACAAGTGTCGGGATCACAAAGCCCACAGGAAATTAAATCAGAGCTGACAACAATGTCTGACAAAAGAGCTGAAGACACACTGCTCACAAGGACACAGTTCATACATGCTGCATGACATGGCACAAGTAGAAACAATTTTACAATGTTGCACGTATTAAAACTCGAAACGCATTACTTCTGACTATCAAAATATTGATATTTTTAATTATTGAGAGGTTTTTCCCTCTCAAAAATCTACTTTCTACAAACCACCAGTATAGCTTCAAAACGTATTAAACCAAATACAAAAGCAGCATTGATGTTTACATATGGCTCAATTCTAGCCATGCCAAATACATGGCTAGCTATAAACACACAACAATGACAATCAGCCTCAGAATGGAAAAGTTAGTTGTTTTAATGAGAGAAGAGGGACTGAGATCCGTCCACACATCAACCCTGTAACATGATCGTTCATAAACTATCTGTCACAATATAAGCTATCCCAACAACAGTCTCATAGCTCAAGACTACGGACCAGACTATTTGGGACCACAATGCCACGACATCACTCTCCAAAATTAGCATTCTGTCTGAAATCACTTTCATAAATATGATACAGCATTACAATGGATTAAGCAGCAATTCTGAACACTACAACGACTAAGAGTTTTTATAGATAACTGCAAATTATTGATAATCAACAATATATATATATATATATATATATATATATATATATATATATATATATATATATATATTTTTTTTTTTTTTGAG